TGTAAAAGAAGTCAAGAGTATCAACAGATCTAATTTAAAACCGGTCAAGCGTGCACATAACTATGAATGTACGTGAAAAGAAAAAGTTGTTAAAAAAATGTCAATTTTTACCCCTGAAAGCAAGTGAAAGCGGTATACTTTTGCAGTTTTTAAACTGCAGAATCTGATACTGACCTTAAATAAATTTTAATTTGTTATAAAAGTAAAAAGTTAAAATCTGCATATGAATCTATTAATGCGATCATAAAGTCGTCTGTTTTACTAATTTTTCTAATGTGGAAGCATATTACAAAAGTAGGGATTAAACCTTTCGGCGCTCAAAGCAAAAGAAAAAATGCGTCTCTTAACAAAAAATATTTCTTTATAATATGTAAAATATAATAAGAAATAATATCAATTAATAATAACATATTAATATTAATTTAATATAATTATGTATATAAAGAAGAGGAGTTATACATTATAAACATACAGATTTACATATATGTTACAATAAACAAAATATGGTTACTAAAAAATATAATTACTAAAATCATAATAATATTTTTTCTGTTTTAGTAGTTGCAAAATTATCAATTAATATATCAAAATCTATATTCTTATATATATTTGATTTTCAATTAAAAAAGAATTTTTATATTTAATTTTTCTTGACCTTTTTATGATAATTTTAAATAACTTTTTATTAACTTCATTTTATTAAAACTTTTTTCACATAAAGCTACTTTACCAGAATAATTAAAAATATTCTCGCTGCTACCTCTAAGTTTGGATAAAATTTGGTTAAAAAATAATATATTTGGTTAAAGAATAATCATGAATTAATCTTAAAATATCTAGAATAGAAGCTGATTTTATATTTGTAGCAAGTAGACCGCAAACGAAAACTTTTTAATGTTAGTATCAGATTCTGCAACACATGAACTAAAGAAAAGCATACGTTTTTACTTGCTATTCCAGGAGCAAAAATTGGCACTTTTATAACTTTCTTTAACACTTTTTTTAAACAAATTTTATGTAAGTATTCAATTTTGAATTTTACATATATTTTTATTTAATAAAAGATAATTATACTATATCAGAATCTTTAGAAATCACAAAACGCGGCGGCGCTTTCAGGTACTGTTTATGTTGGTTTGGTTTCATAATTGGTTTTTCTTCGTAATACTTGTTTTTTGACAATGAAAACTTCTTCCGAGTATTGTCAACGACGTGCATGATTGCACGATAAGCTTGATTGGTTGCTTCGAATCGATTTAGACGTAAAAAAAAAGAGGACCATTCGTGACAATGATACGGTATTCAGTGTTATATAATAATTGAACGCGCCGCAAAGTGCTGAATAGATCGAGTGATCGGAGAAAGCGATACATAAAAACCGTAAAAGTGATCGCTATGCCAACAATTCACTTTATAAATATGTCTTCTTAAAAATACTTTTAATATATTTGCGGAACAAGTATTAAATTAATTTATAAATTCTAACTTTTACTTAGTAATAGTCCTTTTAATAATCAAGACTTTAGATTTATCTATGACCGTGTAATTATGTAATAGTTATCAATCGACGAGATAAAATACAAAAAAGTTAATTTTTTCATCTTAATTTCTTTTTATGTCAAAAGGCGTAACTGCATGTATTGAAATCGATTAGTCTAAGTCAGCATGTACAAAGCGTATTTACGCTTGTTATATAATAATTGAACGAGCAACAACTTCGAACAAGACTCGAATTCGTATATATTGTACTAACTTGTGATACACACACCCGTGACGCATATACCACCTTTCCAAGTGTCGCAACTATGCATCGCGATCACTTAAAATTGTACACCCAGTTTCGTCTCGCTCTGAAAAGCGCTCATGTACGTCACTTGTACCACTTATCTCACATAAGATCCAAGTCCTATCGATGCAAATGTGTATAACCACAGGGCACAGAATTATAATTGAAGCTATTGGTAACCATGATAAAAATTTAAATTTATTCTAATTATATATAAAGCTTAAAATCCAATTACAAACACACACGTATATAGATTATGCATATAGAGTGAATTTTATAATATGTTTATTTTTTATGTTTGTCAATATAAATTTAAAGATATTATAGTGAAATATAATTCAAGGGTGTACAATTAAATTATACTTTTATAGAAAGTTTGATTCAGTGAGCTCTCTCTCTCTCTCTCTCTCTCTCTCTCTCTCTCTCTCTCTCTCTCTAGAAATTATGAGTATGCACATATTTGCGTGTATCTATGTCAATGCTATCATTTTTTATTCTTTCGTCCTTGTAACAAAGTGTATATTTCTGTATTACGAAGATCAACATATTTTGCATAAATTAAAAATCAATGCATTTGATAGCATAGATTAAGCGTGCAAAATTAAAGCGTCAGAAATAACTTTATTTTTGAGAAGAAAGAACTCTATAACTTTTTTACGAATTCTCTCTCTCTCTCTCTCTTTCTCTCACTCATGCAGGAACACACGCACACGCGCGCGCGCGACACACACACACACAACATGCGTGCACACATAAAAGTCGTGTGGAAAATAAGGAAGAAAAGAAGAGATAAATATTAACTGAGTTCTATATTTATCTGCGTGTTTTAAATTTGATGATAAGTGACAAAATATATATCTGAATATACGGTGTATATGTAAGATGTCTGAATATATAGTACTTATATAAAGTAAAATATACACATACACAAAATTTTTAAAGATATAAATAAAAAATTATGTTTCACTAGTAATCTATCACACAAAAAGCAAAATTTTATATAATTCCAACTATTTTTATTAAAAAAAAAAAGGCAAAAGATTTATTCGTGTTCTGAAGGAAAACCATAGTACTTTTATTAAAAATTTAAGTATTATTTATTATATATGAAATTGTAAAAAAAAGAATGAACATTAGAAAAAGTGTAAGAAATATAAGAAAATAAATGTTAATTTAAGAAAATTGAAACAAGAATGTGCCAATTATGTCACGAAAATATATCCATCAAAATTTAAAGAGATATGTTAAAATCCTTCGTACATTTTTCGAATCGAATTAGACGTGGAATGTAGTTTACGGCGTAGTGGATATAAGAAAAGACAGTTTTCACGTAGATAGATAAAATATATCTATCTGCAAACGCGCAGAATGCTTAATTATAAATATTGCATTAAAATTATAATTATTTTCATTAGACATTGATATTTTGATTATTAATACATTAATGTTTTGATTAGTAAGTTTTATAAAGTTTCTTGATTATGAAATATAAAGAATTTAAAATAAATTTTTATTAAAAACTAACAATAAGCGTTATTCATTATACTTAAAAATTAAGAAAACTGTATATTTTACCAAATAATACTGCGCTTAAAAATTCAAAATTAAAAATAAAAACGCTGTTTCTTACGTTATTAACTACGTTTAAATTTTTAATTCTCCTTTACGTTAAACTATTTTCATTTTGGACAAAAAATTTTCCATTTAAAAAAAATTACTTTTGCACCAATACTTGTTTCGGCTTTTATGTTATTTCCGAGCTAATCATAAACACACAGAAGAAATTTCTTGAAATTAGTAGTAAGGAATTTCTATACTTACTTAACACTCGTGTAGCCAAGCGCTTAGAGAATAGGAGCTGTCCTTGCTCAAAGAAAGAGTCGAGAACTGATACCAGTTACTCGTTCATCGGAGCTCTTATAGTCCTGTCTAATCCAGCCAATCTATAGCCACGGAAGGGATTGCAGACGTTCAAAATAGCTCCCTGCTAATGTTCTTTTCCGCCTATTATTTTTCATTTTCCGTTTGTCTTTCTCTCCCCTCTCTCTCGCTCCTCTTTCCTTTCTCTTTTTCTCCTCCTCACTCTCACTATCTCTCTCTCTCTCTCCTCTCTTTCTCTTTGTCTTTCCCCTATGTAGTATTTTTTCGTTGATCCACAAGACAAATTTTAAATTTCCAATTAATTAATTTTTTTCTAACTATCATAGCAAATATTACATTATATGTTCAAATTAATAGAATTACAATTAAAAAGCAAGTTTAATATCATTAATATGAAAGAAAGGCTTATAAAGTTACTCATAATATAACAACGTTTTAAATAAAATTGAAATATACTTGTAAAAATAAACAATTGTTGTCATTAACATTGCACGTACAATAAAAACATATAAAGATGTAAATAAAACTTACAAATAGAAATGTTGAAAAAAACAAAATACATTCAATATTTATTTTATAATATCTATTGAGAGAGATCACAAGATATGTATTCATCATATATATTACTGTAATTTACATTTATACAACAAATTAGTTGAACAAAAATAATACTTAATGTCACTTTGTTAAGATTTTATCAAAAACAGAGTGAAATGTTATGCATTATAAAAGAAATTTATTGATTATTTTTTTCTACTTTATTTTTCTATACTCTCTTTAGATACATATACGCAATTCTACTGCGATCAAGAAAAATATCATACATGTGTGTATTTCTTTTCGGAAAATTTTAAAAATTTGGACTTTTTCTTATAATTTTATACAATGATTGTAAAATTGCACAAAATCTTATATATTTACTTACGAATGGATTGCGTGATTGCATATCGGTTTCTATCCGTGCGATTCTTCTCTGTAGAATTAAGGAAGTGTCGATTACATAAAGGTAAAAAGAGTACAATTCGGATGAATTTTCTCTTAGTCGTTTAAAAATATCGGTCAAGCACGTGATCATATCTTACAAAAAATATATACGATTTTTGAAATATTTTATAATTATACTGAATTTTTTATTTTACTAAAATTTAAGACCTAAATTGATTGGCTAGCTGATTGCTATGAATTGCCGTTATGCACATTATCTCACTTGTCTTCTTCCACGCTATGCACGCGCTGTAAGTGCATAGGGGACACACCCTAAATAAATCGTAGAATAATACATAACTTCACGTAACGATATCATCAGATTACATTTTAAAAAGCACTAAAACTATTCATCCGTTTTTATCATCAAATCAAAACACACGATACGAATTTATATGGTTTATTATGATTTTTTGATGAGTACGACGTGCATTCATTCATCATAATGAATACTTTCTATATTCTTTACATCAGTAAGTGCGGATTTTATGATTAATTACTGATATAATTTTATATTTAAAAAATAAGTGACATTTTTCTATTCTAACCAAAATGCCGTTTTCCAGTCATATTGATATTTGGAATATCCGATTGTGGACGGGTTCATAAAATCCCAGTCAATACAGTAAGTTTTAATGCATTTTTTATTTACTAGAAGTTTTTAATAACAGTCAGATTTCAATATTTTTAATGTATCAATAATATAGTAGTATTATTATTGCTTACAGTATTTGACATTAGGGAAATGTACAATTCAAAATTGATTCTTAATATTTTCGTTTTCTATTTAAAAAGTAACATGTATGTGTTTAATCATTAAAGTTAAATTATGAAATATTTTCATTTATGAAAATATTTTATTCTTGATTTTTAAATTATAATAAAAATGCATATGTATAGCCATTCGTATTAATTTTTATGAATTTAGCGCATTTGTGTTTGCATGTGTGTTTCACACTGAATGAAACGCATATGTAATGGCTTGTTTTACAATTTAAATGTATTTTGTTTTATTAATGTGTATTGATTTATGAATTATTAATAAAAAAATGTTATCAGATTCAAAATAACTTTTTCTCTTTCTTTCTTATTTTCTATTTTATAATGTAATTATAATAACAATAACAGAACAATTAGTATTCAATACCTGAATAGAAGAATCACAATAAAAATGCATGTACGCTTAAAATATAAGTGACAGAAGACATGTTGGTTAGGTAATAGTATTGTTTTTTTTTAAACAATTACAGAATCAAAGAAATATGCGTCATACTGAAGACGCTAATTGTCGCGGTGTTTTACCAAATACTTTACAGAAGAAAGCTGTTGAAAAAACAAGTAACATCGCGCAGAAAGCGGCGCAGGAAGCGAAAGCCGCGTCCGAAGCGCAGAATATCGCTGGTCAACAAGCAGCTCGTCAGGTATTAATTATGTTTTTTGAAAATGTATTTTGCTTAAACATTTAACAACAATACAAATATGAAAACAAAGAAAAAACCGATGTGAGCTGATTCAAGTTATTCGTGTGTGTGAATATACATTATAATTTAATTAAATACAGTCGAACGTTTCAACCCTGGTATTAAGTCCTCTTCAGTGTAACTCAATATGATGATAGCATATTGTCCATAGTGTTGCAAAATTAAGTTGTATAATATTCCAGTCGTCAGATCATCGTTAAACTATGTCAATGTTTGAAATCTTCTGTTGTATTTTACCGTATAAAACAAACCGTACATGTTAGAAATATTTCACTAAAAAGAAAGTTAATATAGTCAAATTAAAAGTTATTATAAGTCAAATTTGATGAAAACCTTACATGGATTCAGATTAACGATGATCTGTTACAAATATGATGTGACTACAGAGATGAGAGAGGTGTCATTAATAAGAGGTCAATTCACAATAAGATAAAAGTGTGAGAATATTCCAATAAACAAAGTTCTAGTAACATATAAATAATAAATATTCAAATTTTTAAAACATGGAATCTTCAATCTTTCTCGACCAAATCACAATACAATGAATTCAATAAGTAAGTATCGTTTTACACATTTAATCCATTTTTTGCTTTTTGATAAAAATAGCCTCTAAAATTAGTCTTTTATTGTAACTTTTTTCCTCACCCAGTATCATTATATTATTCCAATCGAACTCATGATTTTGCTCGGTTCTATGTTCTGTGATAATCGACTGTGTTGTAGTATTTCTATTAATGTGTTTCGATATTCGCTAATTCTTGTCTTTAACAATCCCTTCGTTTGTCCCACGTAGGATGCATTACACTCCTGACAATTAATTTTGTATACTACATTAGATCGAAAGTAAGTTGATAGTTTATCTTTCTGACCTTTTATGAAGGAGCCTAATTTATTGATACCCGTATAGGCCAATTGTATAAATTGATTATCTCTGAAGAATCTTTTAAATTTTTTTCCCGAAATGTATGGTACTTAAGGTTATGAAAAAATTAAACTTCCCTCTGTTAGATCTATTTTGTTTATTCCTGTTCGAATCTACTACTAAATTATCAAATTATTTGAATTTGGAAATTAACCATTTTTTAATATTCTTGAAAATTAAATTTAATGAGTATCCATTTCTTAATAATACTTTAATAATGAATTCAATATTTTTATTATAGAATATATGATGTAATAATAGTAATACTCTGTCAATTAAGTTAATGATTGTTCCTACTTTATGGCATAGCGGATAGCATGAAAAACAGTTTAAATACCTACTCGAGAATGTAGGTTTTTGATACCAATCATATATTAATTTATTATCATTTTTTATTAAGGTCAAATCTAAGAAATGTAATTTATCACCCCCCATCTCTATATAAAATTTAATCTGGAGTCGAGCATTAACTTTATCGTGTTAATAAATTTATTTTTTGGTATCACAAAATTTAATTTTTGGGATCACGAATTCTTGCTGCTTCCATGTCTTTAACAATGTTTTTAAATCTCCCAATACTTTGTTGATCGGATTGCGCTTTAAGATAGTATATCCGTGTCGCTTAGTAAAATTTCCATTTTTTTTATATAATCTGATTTATCGATAGCAACTATCACATTTCCCTTATTTGCATGCGTTAATAAAATTTGTGGATTGTCTTTAGTAAATTATTTTGTCACAGCTAAGGAATCTAATATCTCATCATCAGTGTTCCGTTACATTTTTAATATTTTGTAAGTATGGATAAAACTTGTTTCTGAGTGCATTTACATTGTTGATCTTTAGCTTTAATAAATTATTTTCTATATGTTTAATAAACTCTAACGTGATAGATTCCATGTTGCAGGGAGGGACACAGAAATTTTCACCTTTGTTGTAATAAACTTTGGACTTTTGCCGGAAAACTTACACTAGAGAGATTTATAAACCAATTATTGTTGAATATTCTAAATTCAAATTTGTTTTGATAAAATTTAGACGAATTCAATTCCACTTCAAAGGTATAATTATTGGGTAATTCAACTGGCTTTTCAAAACTATTTTTAGAAAGTGTATTATTAATATTGGAAATTGCGTTATTGTTGTATGAAATCTCTTCGTGTACTGTGCAATAATATTTCCGTTTCAATTTTATCAATTCGGTGATTGTAAAGTATCACATCAAAAATGTAAATTACCATCAGAAATGAGTAGGAATAAGTTTGCTGTCAAATTACTCAATCTTGAAATATCTGATACTTTCTATCATTATAGACGACTCAAATATAATATAAACCAATTTACTAGAAACATAATTAATAAATTACCATTCAACATATACAATGAATTTTTCCATTCTCAGGACTATTCGTTACATAGATTGCACGTAGCAGGGAGAAAACGCATGTTAAATAAAATAAAATAGCTGGAATCAAAAGATAATAATCAGATCATAATATTATACAATTTAATTTTGTAACACTACGGACTGCTATCATCATATTCAATTACACTAAAGAGGAGGGTTGAAACCAATATCAGGGTTGAAACGTTCTTCTGTATTTGATTAAATTATAATATATATTTACCCCCACGAATAACTTGTATCGGTTCACATCGACTTTTCCTTTGTTTCATCATATTTGTATTGTTTATCTGAGGAGCCTTTATTTATTTAAATTTTATATTTAATAACAAGTTTTAAGGTGACTTCGAAATATTTTATTTACAATACATTTTGCTCCTCTGACATTTTTTTTATATATAGAACAATTAATAAATTAACAAATTAAGAGAATAGAGACTTTTTCTAATTTTTTTCTTTAGTTCCGTCAGATCAACACCAGTATAGATATTATCTGATAAAACTTGGCGCATAAAATTGCTGTAGAATTAGCGGCACGCGAGCGATCTGTGTTGTTAATTACATTCGTGCAAGTGTGTTAAGATCGGTATTTTGTTAAGGAAATACGCCACGTGTATACGTAATAGGTAAAGGCTCAACTGGCAGAGAAGGCGGTTCAAGCTGCGAAAGCCGCCGAGGCGGCCTTATCGGGCAAGGAAGCGATGGTCGAACAGCTGCGAGAGGAAGTGAAGGAAGCAAGATCGGTGGTTCAAGAAGAAACATCTTCCTTGCAACAAGCGCAGGCTAACCTCAATGTCGCAGTGCAAGCGGCGCGGCAGTCACAAGATCAGGTACATGATAGGTAAAAATCAAGATATATGAAGGTATATAAATCACAATACAAATTAAATGCAAATAATATGTAACATCAGTATGAACGATGACATTTTGTACTTTGTTTTCAATTTAAATTGCTTAAGTATTTAAATAGTCTTTGTGTTCGAATTTTGACAATGGCCTTATTTAACTCTTCAGATTCTTTCTTTGCCTTAATTTTCTTAATTTCTTTATGTATTTAACTTGATCATTCATTTACCTTGGTGAATAATATTTGCTTGATGAAACTGATAAAATATATAACTGACTATGTCGGTCATTATCTGCAAATCGTCGGCTTAATACATATTAGTTTATAAATTTTAGTAACCTATTTAATTAAAAACATAATTGTACAAATTTATAAAACGTTTTGATTATGTTCTATCTAAAGCACTGATTTTGTGCAATTCGATATGCTAACAATTTTTTAAAACTGTAGCTCAGGACACTAATGAACGCAGTGCATACAGCCAAATCGAATGCGGCAAATGCGCAGGCAGTTGCAAATGGGGCACAGAGATCGCTGCGAGAAAAAGAGGAGTTGCTGGAAGCGGCCAAGAGGCGAGTGGATGAACTATCAAATCAATTGCAAAGTGCTCGGCAAGATCTTGTGAATACGAATCGTGCAGCAGCCAAAGCCAATGCTGCTGCGAACGAAGCGAAGGCGAACGCCGCTAGAAACAAAAGAAAATTAGCACATCTCAGAAAAATGCGTGCGCCACGTCTAAGAGCAGAAGCTTCTTCTTGAGCAGAAATGTCTTCTACATCTTATTATATATCGAAAGATTTATTATTACATATTTAAGCAAGATTTACATGATGTTTTTTTAATAGCAGCTAAAGTATTAATTCTAACGAACTAAAAAACTAGCAATTAAAAGCTAAAAACTTGCAGCTCAAGCAACAAATTATATTTAAATATTTTTTTTTACTAATAAAAAGATATCATGTCAATTTTAATTTCTCAAATTATGTCAGTTGTTAGCGAGATTTAAAGTAAAAATTGTGTAATGTAGCCGTTACTGCATAAAGAACAAAAAATTCTTAGTATCTTTTGAAAATAAAATAATAATAATTGTACTAACAAATGTATGATATTATGAACAACATAAAATAAGAAGAGTCTGATTAAATCCTTTGTCTTTTATTCAATTTTCTTGATAAAATGTTTTGGAAGTACAGAATATACTTTATAAGATATAAATTTTAGCAATTCCATTCACGTGTAAGTAAATGGTATAGCGTAATAAGTAGATTCGCGATTTATACGACGTAGCAAATATTATATAAAAATATTATGAAATTATATAAATTATATAAATATTATGAAATATTATAAAATTTTTAATTATCTTTGGAAGAGAGAGTTTACATATAATTTATGAGAAAGAGAGAACCTCTTGCGGGCACAAGGTAAAATATATTTAGATAAAAAATACGATAATTCTTTTTGCGTACATTTTATAAATAACTAAAATTTCAGGAAATGTATATTTATATATATGATGTTATACTATTTTCGAACGCTAAACTAAACAAAGATAATAAAACCAGTAACATTGAGATAGGAAGCTAAGATCGCCTCTACACTGAGAAAAAAATGCTGTTGATTCAATTAAAGTCTATATTACGAGCTGTCACTAATATAAGTGATTAATTCATGTATATTTTTATTGACATAAAGGCATAAATTATTATTTCAATAATTAAGCCTTTATGTCAATAAAATATACGCATGAATTAATCACTTATGTTAGTGACAGTCCATAATATAGACTTTAATTGAATCAACAGCATTTTTTTCTCAGTGTAAGAATCATCAAATTGAAAAACATTTCAATGAAAAAACATTCAATGAAAACGACCTGTCAGGTAATACTAAGTAACTATCTAATGGAAAAATGTTTATATGCTATAATTTTTTATACACAATTATGTAACATTGTACACGTGCTGACATTTACATTGAAATCATGACTTAGTTCATGAACTGAAGCGGGCGTTACGCTTCGATTATCTCTTACCTTTCTAGAACGCTGCAAATGTAATTCTGTTCGCACCTTTGGTGTAATATTCCAAACGCAATGGAATTACATATCCATTATCTAATTGGAAAAAAATGTAGGAGAGAAAATGTACACTTGAGACAATTCCCGTACTTTTGATCGATAATAACTAGTATTTTCTTAAATTATAAATTTTCTCACGTGTGGCAAAAAGACTTTCTCTTCGAATCCTTGGCTTGTAAATCCTTGATTTATATTTAGCCCTTTCATAACGCTCCATCGATGGCTCGTTGATTCTGAATTTTTATTATCCAAGAAGATTATATACGCAGATAATTAAATACGATGCGGTGAACTCGTTAAGATTATATCAAGATTTGAAAGTGAAAAATTTTTTAAACATTTTCATTACGATACCTCGTGAAATTTAATCGCAAATTGTTAGCAATTATTGACAAAGTTGATACTGTCAAAATTCAAACTATCACTAAAAATCATATACAATTTTTTTTATCACTGAAAATTTTTTTAAATATGTGCATGCCCACATACGTTTATAACATCATATATATACTACAATATGTTATGAGAAACGATATAATAATTGTGTAAAAGGAGGGAGTCTAAAAATAACCAATTTTGACCGTAAATAGACACCTTTAAAACCTATGCATTTATTATTTTGAAAGTCTATGTATTTATAAAAAAAGAAGCTTATTTACCGAGAAAAACTTGGGAACCTTCCAAAAATAATAAAATATTTGAACGCTTTGCAAAAACTCATTTTGTTTCTATATAATAAACGATGATAGATTTCAAAATTAATAATGTATTTATACTTAACACATATTAAATATCCTCTAATTATTCTGCATATAAAAATATTAAGGTAAAAATACATAGTTTACTAGATATTTTATACTTTATTTTGACATATATTGACATGAAATATTAAATATCTCGTAAACTATTGGTTTTTTATATCTTTACCTCAATACCTTTATACATAGAAATTAGAGAAATCATTTCTCGGTAAAAAGTTTTTCATACATTAATATGTATAAATATACATAAATATTCATAAACACGTATAATCGTACATGAAATATATCCATATGTACATATTTATACATCCCTCTTTCTTTCATAAAATTACTTTTTAGTGTAATAGAAATAACAATAGTAATGTGAAAACATTAAAAATAATTAAATAGATCATTTTCGCATTGTTCGTTTTAGAAAAAAAACAAGTTTGGAAAAATATTTAAAAAAAATTGCTTTACACAATTATACATAATTTTATATATAATTTATACACAAGTAATTTTTTATATTTCTTCAAACATGATTTTTTCTAAAACAAATATTGTGAACATTACCCTTTTAATTATTTTTAATGTTTTCACATTACTATTGTCATTTCTATTACACTAAAAAGTAATTTTACAAAAGAAAGAAGGATGTATGAACATGTATGGATATATTTCATATAAAATATATGGTTACGAATATTTATGTATGTTTATATATATTTATACATATTCATATATGAAAAATTTTTTACCGAGATTTATGTAAAAAAAATCATATTCCATTTAAAAAAAATGGAAGTAACCTTCATGCAACCTTAAAAAAATTTGTTTAAATTGATTTTACCATTGTTTATCCCCCATACAACTTTCGTCTGAAACATTTTTGCCTACTAGGTTCAGTTTTTTATATATTTCGGTATTTCGTTTTAGGTGGAACACCCTGTATGTTTGTGAATTTTTCGGGTAGTGTATTCTTTACAGTGTTTAATGTTTGCTCCAACCAGGTTCGGGCATGTATTATACATAAGGTATTTTATCTTGTATTATACAGTATAATACATCGCTTAGTTTTATATATATTATACTCCATGTGGCACCATCTCTACATCATGTGTATAATTAATTCTTAAGATCAATCTCTACATTATCCACGCTAAAAACAGTCCGAAATTTGCAAACAGACAGTCAATCAATTGTACAAGTAATGGATAATATTTTTGTACAAATACAAAAAAAATTTGAAAATCAATCGCATTTCTTTCTTATATTTAGAGTTTTTTCTATTTCTTTTTGGAAGGGTATATTGCAACTAGAACCACATACTTCTATAAATTACACTAACCTGCTTACTTTAGATTTGCTCGCCTTGGTTGAAAGAACTCTAAAAATTTTTCAACTTAAAATAAGATAGATATATATTTGGACGTTGAAAAGAGAGACTGCGAGGATGTTGAGTGCAAAAAATGCAAGCAATATGAACAGATCTAATGTCTATAGTTCTAGAAATTGATTGAAAAATGAGATGAAAATTATAAAAAAGCAAATTAACTAGAATACTTATAATTTTATGGGTCAACGCCTAATGAATTTACTCACTTTTGTAATTTTCACCTCATTTCAAAATATACAATTGACCTCCTAGAGTGTGTTTAAATTCTCACCTAATGATCCCCAGAGATGCATTCCAAATTAGATTCTATTGATCCAAGTATTATTTTATCCCTGTCGTTCACAGAATATTGAACAAGAATAAAAAACACTCGGAGTTGACAGAATCGAATTTTGAAACGCACCCAAGATATCATAATGTTATTCTTGTTTAACATTCGGTGAATTGAAATCAGTTGCATTGGAATAAGAAATACAGTGTCGCTGACATAATTTCGGGAACAGAAAATGCTTTAGTATGCACATTTCTTGAACTAGTGAAACCTACAATGCAATTAGATTATCTTTTATTTTCACCTACCTTTCCTTATCTCTTTTAAATATAAAAAAATATTTTGTGCATTTAGAAAGTAGTGAAGTTATGGATTATTATTATATACATTTTATAAACTTTAATTTTCTACATTGATTTATCAAAAAATTAACTTTCATATGTATATAATTTGGCTGTTAGATTTCTTAATACGTTCTGCTGGATGTAGTACTATATTGATACTGGATTGGTAAAGCTTTCTTCTTTGCGTGATGTAATTTAACTTTCATAATGGCGTGACCGATTTTATTGATGCTATCTTGATATTCCGATCTCCACGATGGCAATGATATCTGTCTTTTCTCGATATCTTCACATTTCTTTTCGCGTTTTAATCCAATTTTTTGTTTACGATCGCGTTTCCCAACGCTTGCATTTCCATTATATCTCGAGGAAGAGAAACGACAATACGGTGAGCAATCAGTTTTTATGATTATTTTTGTTGGCATGCTACACGGTAGACATTGATCATTTGTATCTAGGACTGTCAACGCCATATCTCGCTGTGTCATACGTGCAGCTGCTAAGAAAATTAAAATTTCTTTGAGCAAACATTATTAATAATACAAAAACAAATTATGAACGTGTCTAACACGTGACACCTACGATTTATTTCACAGTATTTTTATCGTACTTACCAGGGTCACTGTAATCCTTTTGATACGTCGTTTTCATAAGATCAATATCCATCCGCGTAATCGGTTCTTTCGGAAATGATTTCTCTAACGCCTCGTATAAACCAGGATATCCTTCTTTAAGCTTCAAAAATTAAATTTAAAATTTAATTCTTTGTAATATCCATTACATTAATTTTAATTTATTATGTTATTTACATTTAAATTAAGTCTCTTTGTATGTTAATGTTATATTAATTTTTGGAAACAAATTTGTCGTAAAATATAAGTAGAAATTATATATACAGAGTAAAACATAAAAAGGGCCTACGAATCATATAGCGCTATTCTTGATCAAATATTTAGTCAAAATATCTTGAGTCATTTTTTTACAATGCTTAATGAAGCAGCTATTATCAAATAAAGCTAATTCAATCAACGCGCGCGCGGATGTATGTACATACACTCACACATACTATCAAAC